CTTGGTCGACTTCTTCTTGTCGACCTCCTTGGCCGACTTCGAGCCACCGCTACCACTGCCGCCAGACTGTCCACGCTGCCCCGGTCGACCGCCTTGCTTCGCCGGGGCAACAAAGTTTGCCTGCGCCAAGAGCTCCTGGGACCGCTCAGCCTCCTGCATCGCCTCGTCCTGCAGGATATACGAGGTTAGGTTGTCCTCGTTGAGCGTCGCCCTCGTGCTCGGCGCCATGGACAGCCGCTTCAACAGGTTGTAGCTGCTCCGGAGTCCCTGCATGACATGGGTGATGTACGACGCCGTCGAATACTCCGCACCGGCCATCCTGATGGTGGCGAGAATTCGCCGGGCCCGGTTGCAGTAGTCGGTCGCCGTCTCCTCGTCGCCCATGCGCAGGTGCGTCAGCTGCCCTTCAAGCTGGGCGATAAACAGGTCGTCGGTGACCTGGTAGGTCGACTCAATGAAGTGCCACGCCTGGTGGCCGGCGTCGAGGTACTCCCGGCACCACTTCAAGGCGATTTGCACGCCCGGCGTGCAGCACCGCGAGATGACCGTGAAGGTCAGCAGCTGCACGGCGCGAAACTCCGCACGCAAGTCGGGGTCGCTCGGCGTCGCCACGGTACCACGAGCAAAGTTGATGAGCCCGGCCATCTCCAGCTGGGGCTCAATAGCTTCCTTCCAGGTGAGAATGTCGGGTCGGCCGACCAGTAGGGGAGTCACCGAGATCCTATCCGGCGTAAACTTGAAGTAGCCGTAGCTCGGTGCAATCCCGCCTGCTGTCACCTGGGTTGCCGACATCGGCACGGACCCACTCCGTCGACCTCCGACGTCGCCCTGCGAGAACCCTGCAGCCGCCGACGACCGCATTCCTCGCGTCTGAACGCCGCCGACTTCGTCGGCGTGAATTACTCCACGCTGCCTCGACGACGTGCCTCCTGCACTGCTGCCGACTTGGTCGCCTCCGGCGTTGACACCCGCGTCGACGTCGCCCTCGGTGTTCACCGGTCGAGGAGAAGCAGGCCGAGAAGGGTGCTCCGTCGCCCACAAGGAACGGATGCCAGCCTCAACGACCGCCCACGGCAGGTCGCCATACTCGTTGGCCTCGTGCTTCCTCCTCGCGTTCTCCAGCCGTGCCTCCAGGGTGTCCACCACCCCCGTGTCACCTACGGCGCCTACCATGGTGACTACCGCACAGCTGCCGGCCTACGAACAACTTAGGTAAGGTGCAACTAAGTCGACTAGACTGAAAGGTAAGTCGTTGTGCCGTCCACGCTCACCGCACCATGCGGAGATAACTCTAGTAACGGGAGCTAGACTACGGGCTAGGCACGGATGCTCGTGTGATCTCTGCGTTCGTTGGTCCTTAGTCGTTTTCCTAGTGCGCACACTATTTGCTAGTTCACAAGGCAATTTGGCAAGAGTTTCACTAAGAAAGGTTGACAACAATGATACAATCAAGTTGGCAAGACAAGACTACATCAGAGCTAGGGTGCAAGTAGGTCAACTGCCAGCGCAGCATGGTCGACCGCGTGCCAGCACGACTTGGTCGACCGCGCTCCAGCAGTGCAGAGACGCGGCTTGCCAACGCTGCAGGTCGACGGCGTGACAACAGCGCAAGTCGACGGCGTGCCAGCGTTGCTCCTGCAGTCCAGCATCGCACCCGCTTCGCAGGTGCTCGTAGATGATTGGCGTGCACTGCTTCGTCACCTGCACAGCGCACACACCAAGTCCACCTCGTGCTGACGACTGCATCTGATGCACCACGTCGACCTCGGGATACCATCACCGAGGTCGTCCTCGCCAAAACCACCTGGGCGACCTTCGCAAGCCTTCGCAGCACCTCGTCACCCAGGTAACTTGGTCGACCGGGCAACCAGGTCGACCAGAGGCTCCAGTGCGTGCCCGTCGACCACCCAGGTCGACGACCACTTCCGGTCGACCTCCCAAGGTCGACCACTGCCTCTGGTACGTGCCGGTCGACCTCCCAAGTCGACGGACACCTCCAGTCGACCTCCCCAGGTCGACCACTAACCCCTGGTCGACCAGCTCCAAGTCGACGTCACTCATGGTCGACTTGAAGGCCTGGTCGACCAACCAGGTCGACCAGAAGGGGTTGGTCGACGTCCCAGGTCGACCAGAAGGGCTGGTCGACGTCATAGGTCGACCAGAAGGTCTGGTCGACTCCCCAGGTCGACCACCCGAAGTTGGCGCCCTCCCAAAGTCGGCGCCCATGCAGTGGCTCCCCGTGCAGGTCGACCAACCTCGTCGACCAGCCCGCCCACTGCTGCAGGTCGGCTGCACCCCTACACCCGACCACGAAGTCGGCTTCGCCCAAGCGAGGACGGGGCCAACACCCAACTCCCGTTGACAGTGAATAGTGTGTGTGTGTGTCCATTCATACGGTACTTGACACACAATGCTCTGGGAGGTGTGATAGATACCGCACTACATTGTACAAGCTCTAGTACCGTCCACTTCAATTTCTGCTGCAGCGGCAGTGCTTGTGCTGACTTGGCAGGCGTGGTGACACACAGCAGAGCATGATGAGTTGAGACGGACCAAGGCAGTGGCTTCACAGCACACAGCGCTCACAAGCAACGTCCCTCGCTTGCAGCACATGAGGCACGCTGCAGCACAAGCATCAAGGTGTGGCAGCAAGAGCAGGGTGTGGGCGTGGGCGTGGGGGAGTGACTGACGCCTAGCTGTCATTCCCTGCTGCTGCAGGTGCGTCAAGAGAGAGTGGGAGGGTGCACGGGAGGGAGGCAGGGAGGAAGGGGGGGATGGAGTGAGTGAGTGAGTGAGGTAGGGAGGGAAGGAGGGAGGGAGGGAGGGAGGGAGCACGAGGGAGGGAGGGAGCACGGGAGGGAGGGAGTGAGTGAGGGAGGGAGGGACGGGGGGGAGGGAGGGAGGGGAATGGGCGGAGAGGAATGAGAGGTACGCAGAGTTAGGTTGCTTGCAGGGTGGTGTGCAGCGAGGGGTGGCATTGTGGGGGGTGGCAGGTGGGTGTAGCGGGCAGCGTGGGGTGGCAGGTGGTGGTGCTGGTGGTGCAGTGAGTGATTGGCACTGAGGCGCATGCAGGCATTGAGGGGCAGTGAATGGGCGTGATGGGCAATGCGTGCGAGTGAAGGCCAGTGCAGCTCCTTGAACCCCCCATCATGCCTCATCCACGCACTCACCTGCCCTCATCCCCACCCACCCCCATGCACAGCCCCACCCTGTAGCAGGCACGCACATGCAGAGCAGGCAGGGCGAAGAGGAAGCATTGGGTGGCGGGTGGTAAGCAGGGCGAAGCAAGGAATGGTAGGTGGAGAGCAGCAAGGGGGCGGGAAGGGGGCCGCGCATGTGGAGAGCATGCGCGTGGGATGTGCATGCAGGTGCTTGCACAACACTCACACCACTCACACCAGTCACACCACTCTCACCACTCACAACACTCTCACCACTCACTCTCACCACTCACAACATTCACACCTCTCACTCTCACCTCTCACTCACACCTCTCACTTTCACCTCTCACTCTCACCACTGACTCTCACCTCTCACTCTCACCTCTCACTCTCACCACTGACTCTCACCTCTCACTCTCACCACTCACTCTCACCTCTCACTCTCACCACTGACTCTCACCTCTCACTCTCACCACTCACTCTCACCGCTCACTCTCACCACTCACGCGTATTGCAGGGGCGAGCGCGAGAGTGAGTTGTGGCTTGTGAGCGGCCGGCAGGGTGGTGCGGTGTGTGAGTTGGCTCTTACGGGAAAGCGCAGTTGAGCGCTGATGACGGTGGTGCCGCGGATGGCCACTTGCCACCACCACTGCTGCCACGCGCCACCGTGTCGTGCGCCCCACACGCCCACCTACCACCATGCAACCGCGCTGCCCAACCACGCACGCCTGCTTGCTACCGCCGCGCCCATGCAAGCGCGGATGCCTGTGCCTCACTGCCGCGCGGGGGTGCCTGTGCCTCACTGCCGCGCGTGGGTGGCTGTGGGTGAGTGGCGCGCGGGGGCGGGGGTGGGCGCGCAGCGTGCAGTGAGTGGTGAGCACGGACGGTCGGGTGGCGCGCGAATGGCGCTGCCGCGTGGATCCGCCGCGCGCGCTCGCAATGGGCTCGCCGCCCACCTCGTCCCACGCGCACCTGCCGCTTCACCGCCGCACGCGCGCCCGCACGCGCGCCCGCCGCAAGGCCGCTCGGCGCACGTGGCGAGGCGAGCAGCAGCGCGGTGAGCATGCGACACGGCTGCCGCTGGACCCACGCGCAATCACCAAACCTCCCAACAAAAGTCGCTCGTTCCACCCTCATTCCTATCCATACTTGAGCTCTTTCACAGCGCTTCCGTCTTGCTTCTATTACTCGCTCCACGCAGTGCAAGGCGGCGTGCAAAGCAGTGAGCGGATGGCGTGGCGATCCCACCGTCCGTTGCGCACTTGCTCGTCTCCCAACTCTCCCCTTACCACAACCATCATCTCCTCTTGCCTTCCATCCGCTGCTCCGCTTCGCTAAAGTCGCTACCACGAATCTAAACATTCCCTGTGCTTCTGTACAGTGATATTTAAACACTAAAACACTGATTTTGCCAGGCTAAACAAACTCAAAGACTTGTTGAGAAAACAATGGTTCAACTAATACACTCACGCAGTCAGGGTTATATGTAAAAAGCGTGAGAAATGTGCGACCTGACATCACTCTAAAGTACAAATGCACACTTCCTACCACCAATCCAAATGTTCCTGTTGCTGCTCTAGAGTACCGTAATATCCAGGCTGCATAAATATTTAAGATTCTAACCGACACTCTCCACCATCAATCCTAATATCCCTACTATTGCTCTCCACACGGCTTTAAACAAACCGGTTTTTATTCCACCCTCGTTCAATTTTGACGCATGGCTGCTTGATGCCACACTCTACCTCCAGAGCCAGCACCAGGATCGCTACACTAAATACGCCCACGCGTTCGGTGAACTGCCTAGCTCCGAGCGTCCTACTCTTTGCCGCTGCTGCCATGAAGGTGACCGGAAGACATACAACGCTAATCGTCTTGCGTATACGGTGTGGTAGTCGCGTAACGCTGCTGCGGGCCCAACCGTCGCCTTGTGCCGCGTCACTTTCGTCATGTCGTGTCGGTGAAGGAGTGTTTTGATGCTATTGTTGCTCCCTACTCGACCCCCTCCTCTGGTATTCTACGACGCCTCATCATACCTTTCATATGTCAAACTTATATAACATTGTTTGTTTAGGCTTTAGTGGGTTAGACTCTATAGATTATAGGTTTTGTTACTTGTATCTCCCTCTCTCCTAGTCGAACCATTCTTCTCGCTTTCACATGGTATAGAGCACGTTCCCCTAGTGGGACCGTTCCTACCTTGGGCCCACCGTTTTGACCTTTTTTTTAGCCTGCCCGAAGCGCGCTTTGCGCCCTGCCCAGAAAATTCGCGGCCCCTTAGAGGCCTGCCCCTTAAAGGCCCTTCGCGGCCCCTCTTAAGGGCCCGTCGCGGCCCCTTCGTGGCCCCTTCGCGGCCCCTTCACGGCTCGTCGCGGCCCCTTCGCGGCCCCGTCGCGGCGTGTCGTGGCCCTTCGCGGCCCTCCGCGGCCCTTCGCAGCCCTCGCGCGGCCCTTCGCGGCCCTTCGCGGCCCTCGCGCGGCCCTTCGCGGCCCTTCGTGGCCCCACTTCCCGGCCCGCCCGTGGCTCTTCGCGGCCCCTTCGCGGCCCCCCCTACGCGGCCCCTCCGTCGTCGCCGCCTCCGCAGCAGCGGCCGTCGCACCTGCTGCCGCTGCCGCTTCCGCCACGGCTGGCCGCCGCCGCAGCTGCTGCCGTGACGACCGTCGCCACTGATGCTGTGCCAGCCGCCGCTGCTCCTTCCGTGACAACTGCCGCCGCTGCAACTACGACAGCCGCCACCGCCGTTGCCGTGACAGCCGCCGCCGCTCCTGCCGTAACAGCTGCCGCCGCTACTGCTGTGACAGCCGCTGCCGCCGCTGCCGTGACAGCCGCTGCCGCCGCTGCCGTGGCAGCCGCCGCCGCCGTTCGTCGCGGCCGCCGCCGTTCGTAGCAGCCGCCGCCGCCGTCCCGACCCTGTTCTGCCGCCCCGTTGCAGCCCTGACCCTGCTCGAGCACCTCGGCCTTGCCCCGCCGCTTGCGGGCTTCTCTAGCCCGCCCCTGGTAAGCGCATCGCCGAGCCGCGCCCCTACTGCTACTGCTATTGCTCCTGCTCGCTTGCTTCTACTGCTGCTGCTAGCCTGCTCCGCCTGCTGCCATGGCTAGTCCTGCTGTGCTTACCTTCGATGCTGAGGGTCGGGCGATAGACTTTGAGGTCTGGCTTGACGACTTGCAGCTTTTCCTGCAGTGTGATAGCAAAGACGATGTCTCGCTGTACGACCTCACGTCTGGTGCTTCCCCCCCCCCCTGCTGCTGATGCTGATGCTACTGTTCGCTCGCGCTGGAACACCCGCGATGCTGCTGCCCGCCTTGCTGTGCGTAGTCACCTGCCGTCTGCTGAGCGTGCGCACTTCACTCAGTTTAAGACCGCTAAGACCCTGTTCGATGCTGTCGTTGCGCGCTACTCCTCCCCTGCCTCTGCTGCCCTTAGCCGCCTCATGCTCCCCTACCTTTTCCCTGACCTCGCCGCCTTTGCTACAGTCGCTGACCTCACTGCACACCTCCGCACTAGTGACACCCGCTACCGTGCTGCGCTTCCTGCTGAGTTCTGCGCCAAGAACCCCCCCCCCCCATGTATATCACCCTCTACTACCTAGTCACCCGCCTCCCTGACTCCCTTCGCTCAGTCAGGGACCACTTCCTAGCTCTCTGCCCCACCACTCTCACCGTTGACCTCCTCGAGAAGGAGCTCCTTGCAGCTGAGAAGAGCATAGTCGCTGTAGGAGCCTCTCGAGGTGACCCCCGTACCCCTTTCTTTGAGGGGTGCTCCCCTGTCCCCCTTCTGCCCTCTGTTGCCTCTGCTGCTGCTGTCGACCTCCTTGGCACTGAGTCGGTCGGCGCTGCGTCTGCCCCTGGCGGGAGGCGCCGCAACAGCAAGGGCAAGGGAGGCAAGGGTGCTGGAGGAGCTGGCGGGGGTGGTGGTGGTGGCGGTGGAGGCGGCCGGGGGGGTGGGGGTGGAGGTGGAAGTGGGGGCGGAGGTGGGAGTGGGGGCGGAGGTGGGGGCTCTGGTGGCGGCGGTGGAGGCGGAGGCAGCGGCAGCGGCGGCGGTGGGAGTGGAGGAGGTGGCGGTGGCGGCGGTGGCAGCGGAGGAGGCAGTGGCGGTGGTGGCGGTGGCGCTGGTCGGGGTGGCTCCGTGCAGAGGGGAGGCTCTGGTGGTGGACAGCGTCAGCAGCAGCAGCGCTCTCGTGAGGCCCCGCCGCCCCAGCAGCTTCACCAGTGGTACGCTGGGCGTCAGCGGCCTGGGGGTGCTGGTCCCTGTACCTACGTTCTGCGTACTGGTGACCGCACTGGTGAGCCGTGTGGCGGCCCGCACACCACCCAGCGCTGCTTCGGCCGCCTGACAGACGCCTGGCGTATCCGGTTCCCTGACGCCACTGAGCTCCCGCACTGGCATGAGCTACTTAGGTCGGGGGTTCCTATCTTTGATCTTGACTATGATGCTATCCTTGCTGCCATGTATGTTATGTCTACTAGTGATGACGGTGACTGTTACCTGAGTGTTCCGCCCGACCCGGGCGGTGCAGCTGCTGCTCTAGGTGCCAGTGAGTCTGCTGCTCCAGGTGCTAGCGAGTCTGCTGCTCCAGGTGCTAGTGAGTCTGCTGCTCCAGGTGCTGGTGAGTCTGCTCTCTCAGGTACCACGTCTGCTCAGGCGTCGCACACTTTCACCCTTGACTCGGGTGCTTCCCGCTCCTTCTTTCGAGACCGCACCACTCTCACGCCGCTCAGTCGGCCGGTTGCGGTCTCCCTGGCAGACCCCTCTGGGGGTCCTGTTCTTGCCCACTACTCCACTGTTCTACCGTGTCCAGCGGTCCCGTCTGGCTCCCTGTCGGGTCTTTACCTCCCCTCGTTCTCTACGAACTTGGTGGCGGGTGCTGACCTACAGGATGGGGGGGTTGACCAGTTCACCCCTGCGCGTCAGCGGGTGACCCACTGCACGTGTGCTGACACGGGCCGACACTTGGCCACGTTTACCCGTCGGCCGGGGTCGAGCCTGTACACCCTGACTACCGAGTCTCCTCCGGTTGCTGTGCCTGGTCAGGTAGCTGCGTCGGGTCAGGTGTTTGCTGCAGCGTCTCGGTCTGGTCCTGAGTCTGCCCCCTGCTCGTGTCGCCTCCTGTCCCACGAGACTCTTCTCTGGCACCACCGTCTTGGTCACCCCTCCCTGCCTCGTCTCCGAGGCATGGCCTCTCGTGTCCTGGTCTCTGGTCTCCCCCGGTCTCTCCCTCCCCTCCCTCCGGGGCCTGCCCCTACCTGCGTTCCCTGCGTCGAGGGGCGGCAGCGCGCCGCTCCTCACTCCTCCGAGTTTCCGCCGACAGAGGCTCCGCTGCAGACTCTTCACATGGACGTGTGGGGCCCAGCCCGCGTCCGTGGACAGGGTCACGAGCGCTACTTCCTGCTGGTGGTTGACGACTACTCGCGTTACACCACAGTCTTCCCCTTGCGCCGCAAGGATGAGGTCACTGAGGTGTTGATCGACTGGATCCGCGCTGCTCGTCTCCAGCTCAGGAAGAGTTTCGGCTCGGACTTTCCTGTTCTGCGTCTGCACTCTGACCGAGGTGGAGAGTTTTCCTCCGGCCCTCTACGAGCCTTCTGTCGTGCGAGGGGCATCTGCCAGACGTTCACGCTTCCGGCCTCTCCACAGCAAAATGGGATTGCTGAGCGCCGCATTGGCATGGTCATGGATGTCGCTCGCACGTCCATGATCCATGCGGCTGCTCCCCATTTTCTGTGGCCGTTTGCGGTTCAGTACGCGGCGCATCAGATCAACCTTCAGCCCCGGGTCTCCATGCCGGACACCTCCCCCACTCTGAGGTGGACGGGGCAGGTTGGCGATGCGTCTGCGTTTCGTGTCTGGGGATCTCGGGCTTTTGTCCGAGACTTGTCTCCGGACAAGCTGCCCTCCCGTGCTGTTCCCAGCGTCTTCCTTGGCTTCCCCTCTGACGCGCCTGGTTGGCAGTTTTTGTTAGAATCTAGTAGCAGGAATGAATGAACTAACAGCATGCAGGAGTACAAGTAGTAAACCCTAATTGGGTTGTACCCCATATGGGCTACCCCACTACAGCCTAGACAATATGCAGCATATGTTTGACACACCCCCATAGGCAAAGTGGGGGAGAACAAGGGGTCACACGACCAGTCAAGAGAAGCAAAGCAAGCTTAGGGTGGATCACAACGTCACCACACATTCTGAGCGCAAGCAAAGGGCCACAAGGCCAGTTCACATGCAGAGACATATATGTAGCAATAACAGTACAGTGATGACTACCTAGCAAGAGCAGACCTGCAGGTATACATATAGATCACAGTACAAGCAGAGACTACAGCAAGTGTGGAAATGTAGGCACAAGGCCTAACAGAGTGCAAAAGCGCTGATGATCACCAGACGAAAGTGCCTTGGTGAATATATCAGCAGTGTTCGCCCGAGTGGCCACGTGACGAAGACGAAGCTGGCCTCGCTGCTGCAACTCTCGAGCCAGGAAGTAACGCATAGCGATGTGCTTCGTTCTGTGCTCCAGTCTGTGCTCCTCACACAAGGCAATGGCCGCCTTGTTGTCAACGTACAGAACTGGAGGAGAACGAGGCCGCTCACCCAAGTCAGTCAGCAGGTAGGTGAGCCAGCGTAGCTCCTGTGCAGCCATGGCGGTGGCGTAGATCTCAGCCTCACAACTGGAGCTGAGAACAGAAGACGAGCGTGTAGACCGCCAAGAAACAGAGCCAGAGCCAAGGCTGAAGGTGTAACCCTGTGACGACCGCTGTGTAGTCTGGTCGTCAACCCAAGACGCGTCTGAGTGCCCAGTGAGCACCACCTCACTCCGTCCTCCAAGCACGAGCCCCATGCCTGATGTACTGCACAGGTAGCGCAACACCCTCTTGGCAGCATCCATGTGCACCTTTCGGTGCCTACCAGGAGCCACGTAACGAGCCAAAAGGCCAAGAGGGTATGCGAGGTCAGGTCGTGTGCAAGTCATCAGATACATGAGGCAGCCAACTAGCTCTGGGTAAGGACCACTCGGCTCTACGGACTCGTCCAAAGGTGGAGCTGAGAGCGAGTGACCTGTAGCCAGAGGAGTGGGCTGTGGGGAGGACCAGGAGAAGCCGAAGCGCTGAAGGACCTGCCGCACCATGTGTGACTGAGTCAGGGTGATGGTGCGGCGTGCTCTGTCCCGGGTGATCTGCAAGCCAAGGTAGCTGCGCAGTTGTCCCAGGTCTGTGCACGTGTGTCTCTTCTGCAGCTCCGACTTCACCTGAGCGAGAGCCTCAGTGTCAGCAGTGGCAAAGACCAAGTCGCCGACGTACACGAGGATGTAGAACGGCGGCAGCGACGTGTCTGTGCGCAGAAACAACGACGGGTCAGCAGTCGAAGGAGCGAACCCAAGAGCCGCAAGCGTCGTCCTCAGTGTGTCGTGCCACTCACGAGGCGCCTGGCGGAGACCGTAGACTGGCCGCCGGAGACTCCACTGGGTACCAGGAGGAAACGACCCAGTGAAGCCAGGTGGGCGGCGCAGCCAGATCTCCTCGTGCAGGCTGCCCTGTAAGAAGGCTGTGCTGAAGTCAAGTGAGTGAAGCTCGTAGTCACGCTGAGCGGCAACGTGCAGCAGCACCCGAAGAGTGGTCATCTTCGGTGTGGGGGAGAAGGTATGGAAGAAGTCAACTCCCTGTCGCTGACTGAAGCCTCGAGCAACGTAACGAGCCTTGAAGACAGGCGGAGAACCCGGCGGCCGCTTCACCCTGAAAATCCACATGCCATCGACGATGTTCGCCCCAGGAGGGGGAACCTCATCGACATAAGTGCCTGTGGACTTCCAGGATGCCATCTCGGCGTCCATGGCTGTCTGCCACTGAGAGGAGTAGGGACCCGCCATCGCCTCAGCGTAAGTGCGCGGGGTCGGGATGTCTGGTGCATCCGGGTCTCCCTCAGGGGCAAGCAGCATGGCCACGAGATGAGGCGCAGCGGCTGCAAGACACTCAAGGTCCTCGTGCCTGTCCTCAAGGACGTCCGTGCCAAGAGCACACTCACCCCCGACGGACGGAGGACAGACAGACTCAGACTCAGCAACAAGACTGGCAGCGTAGTCTAGATGACAAGCAGCAGCAAAGTCAACAAGCTCAGCGACCAAGGCAGACGCAGCAGTAGACTCAAACGACGGGTTAGTGACAACAGTGGCTAGCAGATGCGTGACAGTAGGGTGCTCAGCACGAAACCGGTCAGACTCAGGGTCCGCAACGTCAGGCAGAGAGGACGCAGGGGGAGACGGAAGAGGAGTACGCTCCGGAGGAGAGGACCAATGCAGGGCGACAAGGCGGGTGCCGAGAACAGCCGGCTGACGCTGACGAGGAACACGACGACCGGTACGACCAGGACGAACAGGCGAGACAGGACGCGACGCAGGCTCACGACGCTCAGCAAGACCCCCTGCCTGCTCAGTGTAAGGAGAAGGAGCAGGCAACGGTAAGCCAGGCTGTAACGGAAGACCAGTAGACGAAGGGAGACTAAGAACCTGGCGAAGCACAGAGTCAGGCGGTGGCTGAGACGACGGAGACGGCGGAGCAAAGAACAGGCGCGGCTGTGCAGTGCCACCAGCACCAGTAGCTCCAGCACCCCCAGCAGCTCCAACACCTCCAGCAGCTCCAGAAACCTCAGCTCCAGCTCCTCCAGGACCAGCTCCACCAGCAGCAGCACCCCCAGAACCGGCACCCCCAGTCCCAGGGTCTCCAGCCGCAGTGTCTCCAGCAGTAGCACCCGCAGGCTCAGCACCTCCAGCCCCAGCAGCTCTAGTACACCCAGCCGTAGAGCCCCTAGCTCTAGAAGCGCGACCCTGACGACGACCGAACCAGTCGTGCAGCTGCTGTGAGGTGAGAGGCACACGCGGACGAAGGCGGCTACTCCAAGGAGACTTGGCAACAGCAGACTCAGAACCCTCAGCGCGACCACCTCCAACAGCTCGAGAACCTCCAGGTCCAGAACCCTCAAGGGATGCACCCTCAGCAGTGGCAGAACCTCCAGCGCCAGCACCCTCACTGCCAGCACCCTCAGCAGCTCCAGAACCTCCAGTGCCAGCTCCCTCAGCAGCTCCAGAACCACCAGACTCAGCACCCCCAGACCCCTCACACGCAGGCTCAGCACCTCCAGGCTCCGCACCCCCAAGCTCCGCACCCCCAGACTCCGCACCCCCAGACTCAGCACCCCCAGGCTCTGCACCCCCAGGCTCAGCACCCCCAGAAGCAGCACCCCGAGCAGGACCACCCCCAGCAGGACCTGAGTCACCAGTGACCTCAACCGGCGCAGGGAAGGGAGGAGGGTCTACCTGAGACACACCTGAAGGAGCAGGACCTGGAGCGGGGAGGGGGTCTACCTGGGGAGCACCTGGAGCGAGGGAGAGGGGCAGTGCGGTAGGGGAAGAGACGGTAAAAGGGAACCGACTCATCAAACGTGACGTCCTGAGACGCAAAGACACGGCGCGAGGTGGGGTGGTAAAACTGCCAACCAGGCGCGTCAGGGACAAAGCCAAGGAAGACACAGGGAACAGCGCGGGCGGAGAGCTTGTCCGCAGTGGTATCGCGGACAAAGGCACGAGCACCCCAGACCCGGAAACGCGACGCATCGCCAACCTTCCCCGTCCACAGCAGTGTGGGCGAGGACTACGGCAAGGAGACACGGGGCCAGAGGTTGAGCTGATGCGCGGCGTACCGGACCGCAAACGGCCACAGAAAATGGGGGGCAGCCGCATGGATCATGGAGGTACGAGCGACCTCCATGACTAAGCCAATGCGGCGCTCAGCAACCCCATTCTGCTGCGGAGAGGCCGGAAGCGTGAACGTCTGGCGGATGCCGTGCTCCGCACAGTAGGCTGCCAAGAGGTCGGAGGAGAACTCACCACCTCGGTCAGAGTGCAGACGCAGGACAAGAAAGTCCCGCTGGAACCGCTCGCGGAGCTGGAGACGAACAGTGCGGATCCAAGGGATCAAAACATCAGGGACGTCCCCCTTGCTCTGCAAGGGGAAGACCGTGGTGTAGCGCGTGTAGTCGTCGACGACCAGCAGGAAGTACCGCTCGTGGCCCTGTCCACGGACGCGGGCTGGGCCCCACACGTCCAGGTGGAGAGTCTGCAGGGGAGCCTCTGTGAGAGGGAACGAGGAGGAGTGAGGAGCGGCGCGCTGCCGCCCCTCGACGCAAGGAATGCAGGGCGGCGCAGGCGAGGGAGGGAGGGCAGGCAGAGACCTGGGAAGACCAGAGACCAGGGAGCGAGAGTGCATGCTACGAAGGCGAGGCAGGGAGGGGTGACCAAGGCGGTGGTGCCACAGGAGAGTGTCGTGCGACAAAGCGCGACACTCGCAGGGGGCCGCCAGCTGACCTGACGCAGACGCAGACGCAGCTACCTGAGGGGACGCAGTGGTCAGTGTGTACAGACTCGAGCCAGGCGCACGGGTAAACGTGGCCAGGTGCCGGCCCGTCCGAGCACACGTGCAGTGAGTCACTCGCTGACTCGCAGGAGTGAACCGGTGAACCCCCCTATCTTGGAGGTCAGCTCCACTCACCAAGTTCGTAGAGAACGAGGGGAGGTAAAGAGCTGACATCGAGCCAGACGGGGCGGCCGGACACGGCAGAACCGTGGAGTAGTGGGCAAGGACTGGACCCCCGGAGGGGTCCGCCAGGGAGACCGGAACTGGCCGACTAAGCGGCGTGAGTGTGGTGCAGTCGCGAACGAAGGAGCGGGAAGCTCCTGAGTCAAGGGTGAAGGTGTGCAAGACCGCAGCAGGCGCAGTACCAGAGAGAGCAGACTCACCAGCACCTGGAGCAGCAGCCTCACCAGCACCTAGAGCAGGAGACACACCAGCACCTAGAGCAGCAGCCTCACCAGCACCTAGAGCAGGAGACACACCAGCACCTAGAGCAGCAGCCTCACCAGCACCGAGAGCAGGAGACGCTATACCAGGGTCAGGCGGTACGCACAGGTAACAGGCACGGTCAACACTAGTAGGCAATGCATA